AACTTCAGTCTGAACTCTAGGAGCTAAAACACCAACACGAAACTTCAATCTGAACTCTTTAGCAGCTAAAACACCAAGATAAAACTTCTCGCAGTTCTGGACTTATTTAGAAGCATTTGGTTTGATTGTTAATCTTTTTTATATTTCAAAAGTTTTCATTCGAACTATAATTGATGATTTTTTAAGCTGCTCAGATATCAAAACATTCGGCTCATTCAGCAGATGGATGCTGTGACTATTAGTTGGAACTTTTTAAATATTTCACTTTATTTACAAATATATTTCACAAAGAAATTCATTCAGATCTCTTCAGTTCAAAAACATAATAAAAAAAATCCTAATTAGAAAACTGTTTGATTTCAGCTTCTACCTAGCCTTTTGCTTCTACCTAGCCTTTCGCTACTTGTAGTTAGCAATTTCTTGCTTTTAAATAGCCTTTTGATGCCTTTAGCCAGTATTTCACTATTTTAAAGATTCTTTCTAGATTTTTTTAAACTTAGCTTCTAGTTAGCCTGTTCAAACTGTTAACTTTTCGTGTTTTTTTTAGCTGCTTGTAGCTAGCCTTAGGCTGCTTTGAGCCTTTAGCTAGCCTTTTGCTTTTTTACTTAATCTTTTTTTTTTTTTAGCTAGTGTTCTGCATTGTAAGCTAGTGTTTTTTTTTCATCTTTGAGCTTTAAGCTTGTGTCCTGATTCTTTTAGCTTCAAAAACTCAGTTTTAGCTTCTTCGGCTGTTCTTCAGCATTCACCCTCCATTTTTGCAGAAGATGCAGTTTTTCTCACTCCAAACTTTGTCTTTCTGGTTGTCCTTTGTGTTTTAAAACAAAAATAGCTCTGGTCTGTTTTTAGCGCGTTCCTTGAACATGAACGACGACCTCCAGAGGATTACGTCAACAAACTCACGGCTCAGACGCGGTACTTCCTGTCCAGAATAAACTAATGGTTTCTGCTTTCGGGTGGCCGCGCTGTGACTACTTCCTGTCTGCCTTTCTGGATTCCCTTCACAGACGAACCCCGGACAAATATTTGAAGGAAATTCCTCTGGGACAGATAAACTCTTTTAGTTGTGTCTGTCAGGTTGTTGGTCTGCAGGTGAACCGTGCAGGACTGGTGTCTCATGCAGGACCCGCAGACCCAGACGTGAAATAATGAGTCCTGGTTCCGGGTCTTTCACAATAAGCTCCTTCACCCCAGCAGAAAGCAAACAAACCACGTCCTCTGCCAGGTGTTTTCACCCAGCACACATCTGGATGTGGGTCCTGATCTCGGATGCTAATAAAGATGAAATGTTTTGACTGCGTTGGCGTCTAAAACCCTAACGCTGATCCTTTGAGGAGTTTCACCCAGAACTGACATGGCTGCCTCTCCGTTCACAGTGATCCGAGCGAAGGTGGTGGGGAAGAAGATGCTGAGCGACGGGCCTTTTGGAACAATGAGATACACGGTGAAGCAAATGAAGGTCAGTTTGATGCTTTCTACTTTAAATACGTTGTTGCGGCTGCAATTCTTCTCATGTTACCTGTCTGTTAGCAAAATACTTCATGATCCACTAACTGCAGTGTTTCCCTTGCCTTGTCAGGTCTGGCATTCTGCATCTTTTAGCTTTAGGCTGGCGTTCTGCTTCCTTTAGCTTTAGGCTGGCGTTCTGCTTCCTTTAGCTTTAGGCTGGCGTTCTGCTTCCTTTAGCTTTTGGCTGGCGTTCTGCTTCCTTTAGCTTTAGGCTGGCGTTCTGCTTCCTTTAGCTTTAGGATGGCGTTATGCTTCCTTTAGCTTTAGGCTGGCGTTCTGCTTCCTTTAGCTTTAGGCTGGCGTTCTGCTTCCTTTAGCTTTAGGCTGCTGTTCTGCTTCCTTTAGCTTTAGGCTGGCATTCTGCTTCCTTTAGCTTTAGGCTGGCGTTCTGCTTCCTTTAGCTAGTGCTTTGCTTCTTTTAGCATAGCTAACCGACTTCAGGAAAAAAAAAGTATCTAATTTAACAGATGAGCTTAAGCTCTGTGTGATAGTAGCTGAGGGTCATCTTTAGCACACACACTTTGATCAGCACAGTATTTTTACTGAAAACAATGGCAACAACTGTTGCTGTCAACCATCTTTGTTAGCAAAATATTTACCACTGAACAGATTTTAATGAAACCTTCAGAAACATTTAAATCTTTAGTTTTCAAGCGTTAGTTTAATATTCAGTCTTCTCACCGAGGGGAATCCAACCTCTTTGGTAAACATGTGGGTCTCTCCGCCCCCTTTAGCTTCTGTGCAACAGCTGCAAAGCAGTTTGGGACACTTGGCTTGAAATCGTTCCTTTCTCTTCTTACATAATGGAGCAGATTGGTGACGGATGCTGACGTGGGTCTGCTGCTCAGACCGGAGCCAGGCCGGAGGATTAGCAGGCTTACAGCTTAACCCAACTCCTCGCACCACGAGTAAACATTTACCCAGAGTCCGGTCACTTCACGGCATCCTTTACTTGTTTGAACCCAAACTAGTAAAAAGCCCAATTCTCTTGAACTTAAAAAAAATCATGAGAGAAATCGGTTTGGCTTCTTGTCGGCGCTGCATTTTTATGGCCAGAGCAACGGTTTGTTCTGTTTTTCTGGGAGCGTCTAAACAGGATTTCCTGTTGTTCTCAGACCAATAACAGTCAGGAGGAGACGAAACAAAAATACCTGACTTCAGGCTCAAAGTTCAAGAACTTTACGCAACAAACAAAAAAACAATCCAGACAGTCTGGGTCGTTGCGGCTTTCCTGAAAAACATCGTTTAGTATTTAAAGCAGAGAGGCCTCGTTAATTCTCCTTTTGGTTGATTTCTTGCAGATGTACAAAGGATTTGATAAAGTTCAGCACGTGCAGCACATTTACACGGACGCCTCGGAGAGTTTGTGTGGAGTCAAGTTCGACATCAACAAGTACCAGTACCTGATCACAGGTGAGCCCTTCGTACGGTAACGCATCTCACTGTTTGGACACAAATGGCTCCAACGTCCTAGTTTACAAATGTATAGCTAAAATTTGCTCTTTTCCACTGGTTTTCTATGCCAAACCAGCAGACAAGATCCAGTTCCAGCAGCTAAAGCTTGTTTACTTTCAGCTACCAGGGTTACGAGTTTATTATAAGGCCGCCCCTCGCTCATGTCCTCCCAACGGACTTTCCTTCTATTTATTGCCACGGCACCAGGAGGCAAAGCAAGAGGCTTTAAAAAATAAAACCAGATTTAATTTCCTTATTTTCGCAGTCCAGAAGCAGCAGCTTTCTTCCTCCAGCTTCCTGTAATCAACAGGCAGCAGGAAGCGTTTTCCAACACGGGCGTTTTATGAGTTGCTATTTCCAACGGTGGTGCCGTTTACTTTGGACCCTGCGGCGCTTCGCTTATATACGTGTCGCTAAGTCCCGACCTGTAACTCCACCGCACATATCAGGCCAACGAGCCGGGATGTTTCTAGGCAACAGCTGCAGTGTTTACCCAGTCCAGGTGACATCATGTGGTGATTCTCTCTGCTCTCGAGGCGTCTATAAAAAGTCCTGCAAACAACCGGAGCCTCCGGGATGAGCTGTTGGCATCTTTGCTCGAGCTCTGAGGCCGTGACAAGTAACAATAACGGTAACAATCAAAAGGGCTGCGACTCTGAGCGGACGACTTTCAAATGTTTTCATTGTTTTAACAAGATGGCCACCGTTAGATTCAGACTCTGACAAATGACTTCCAGTCCGTCGGTTCACTTAACACCGATAATGTCGAACGTCTGACGTACAAACAAAATACTTCAGAGCAAAACTGCAGAACAGACTTTCAACAATTAGGAGTAGAGCAACAAGCAGCTAAAGCCAAAAGTAATAACAATAATTAAAATTAAAAGTATCAGAAGGCTAGCTAATGGCAGAAAAACAATAGCTAATGGTAAAAAGAAACTTAAAAACTACATTAGCAAAAAGGTAGCTTAAAGTATCAAAGGGCAAGCAAAAAGCTAAGGTAGCAAAAAGTTAACTACAAGTAAAAGTAATAAAGGACATTATTGAAAAATATAAGTAGCAACAGACTAGCTCAAAGACTAAAGCAGCAACGGACTAGCTCAAAGACTAAAGCGGCAAAAGACTAGTTCAAAGACTAAAACAGCAACAGACTAGTTCAAAGACTAAAACGGCAACAGACTAGTTCAAAGACTAAAGCGGCAACAGACTAGTTCAA